ACGAACTCATCACTTTGACAAACTTTTAAGAAAATTAATTTTTCAGTAACCGGACGTTTTATTAAATTAAAACAACGGTTTTCTAAGTTAAGTCACGATTTTTCACGGTAACACCCCGAATCAGTTTTCGCAAAGTAAAAAGGTTTTATTTTCAAAGACTTTGCGAATTATCGCGCTACTCTGATTTTTTTTAGTAAGGAGGGGTGTTACAAAGGGGCCTTGGGAAGAAGGAGAAGATGCAGATGACATGTGGCTAAAGATGACAACATGTGTACGAAAGGTGGCTGCAAGTACTTGGTATGAGTAAGGGAGGCAAGCAAGATGCGAAAGACACTTGGTGGTGGAATGACGAGGTGCAAAGGACTATTCAAGAGAAGAAAGAGTGTTTCAAGCGTCTCCACCTTGACAAGAGTGCAACCAACATTGAAAGCTATAAAATAGCCAGGAGGGCTGCAAAGCGTGCCGTGAGTGTAGCAAAAGGTCAGGCCTATGATGACCTTTATCAACGCCTAGGCACGAAGGAGGGGGAGAAGGACATTTATAGGATAGCTAAGATTCGGGAGAGGAAGACAAGGGACACCAACCAAATCAAATGCATCAAGGATGGGTCGGATCGGCCACTGGTGAGGATTGGGAGATCAAGGACAGATGGCGAGAGTACTTCGACAAATTGCTTAATGGGGAGAGTAAGGGTCCTACCCTGGAGTTGGTTGACTCATTTGAGGATACCAATAGATGCTTGGTGAGGAGAATCCGAGAGGCAGAGATCGGAGAGGCTATGAAGAGGATGAAGGGAGGCAAAGCAATGGGCCCTGATGGTATCTCCATTGAGGTGTGGCGATGTTTGGGCGCCAGAGCGTTAGTATGGCTAACTAAGCTTTTTAACCTCATCTTCCCGTCAAACAAGATGCCTGATGAATGGAGGAAAAGTACTTTAGTACCGATCTTCAAGAACAAGGGTGATGTTCAAAGCTGTAGTAACTACCGTGGGATTAAGTTGATGAGCCATACGATGAAGCTCTGGGAGAGGGTTATCGAGCATCGCCTACGACGAGTGACGAGTGTGACCCAAAACCAATTTGGGTTTATGCTTGGAAGGTCGACCATGGAGGCGATTTTCCTAATACGACAATTGATGGAGAGATATAGGGACCAAAAGAAGGACTTGCACATGGTCTTTATCGACCTTGAGAAGGCTTATGACAGAGTACCGAGGAATGTCATGTGGTGGGCCTTAGAAAAGCACAAAGTCTCATTTAAGTACATTACCCTCATCAATGATATGTACAAGGATGCGATGACGTGTGTCCGAACATGTGGGGGCGATACCAGCAACTTCCCAAATAAAATAGGACTACACCAGGGGTCAGCATTGAGCCCTCATTTATTTGTCTTAGTGATGGATGAGGCCACAAGGGACATGCAAGGTGATATCCCTTGGTGTATGCTCTTTGCTGATGATGTGGTGCTAGTTGTCGAGAGTAGGGCAGGGGTAAATAGGAAGTTAGAGCTGTGGAAGGACACCTTAGAGTCGAAAGGCTTCAGACTTAGTAGGACGAAGACCGAGTACATGATGTGCGCTTTCAGCATGGCTACTCATGATGATGGTGTCGTTAGCCTTGACGGGCAAGTGGTGGCCAAGAAGGAGACTTTCCGGTATTTTGGATCGATGCTACAAAAGGATGGCGGCATTGATGAAGATGTTAGGCATAGAATTGCAGCCGATTGGTTGAAATGGCATCAAGCTTCGGGCGTTCTCTATGATAAGAGGGTGCCACAATGGCTAAAAAGTAAGTTCTACAGGACGGTGATTCGCCCGGCGATGCTATACGGTGCTGAATGTTGGCATACAAAAAGACAACATGTCCAACAATTAAGTGTAGCAGAGATGCGGATGTTGCGTTGGTTTCGCGGGCACACAAGAAGGGATAGAATTCAAAATGAGGATATTCGAGATAGGGTCGGGGTGGCTCCAATTGAGGAGAAGTTGGTTCAACAACGGCTGAGGTGGTTCGGACATGTCCAACGGAGGCCTCCTGATGCACCGGTGCGTAAGGGAGTTCTACAACGGGCCGATGTTGTTAAGAGAGGTACAGGTCGGCCTAAACTCACTTGGGAAGAGTCGAGTTCAGAGAGACCTTAAAAGTTGAAATATCTCCAAGAATTTAGCGGTGGATAGGAGCGCTTGAAGGCTGATCAACGTGCTAAAATCGTGACTTCTGCTCCTTTCTCTTTTGCTCCAATCTCTTCCTTTTGTTTTGTTTTGTTTTGAGTTTTGTTTTTGTTTTATTTTTTGATTTGAGCTTTTTTTTTTAATACCACTGTGTCTATTGAATTTCATCTCTAGCCTACCCCAACTTGTTTGGGGCTAAAAAGCTTTGTTGTTGCTGTTGTATACCCCACTCAATGTGAGTGTTATATACACTTCTATGTACATTTGTTATGTAATTGTAGCATTTTCCAAACACATAATTGCAGAAAAGGTGAACAATAACGACAAAACCATATATGTAAGACAGATAAAAGAATCATAACTGTCCGAAAATCGGTTGCTTGCTCATGGTTCATCACGATAAAATCATACTCTAAAACCAACGCTTGCCCGCACACAAGGAACAAAACCCAATCATCAGCTGCGAAAAAACCCTCAGAGATAAAAAAAATAAGCCACAATTTCATGAGAACTGCAAACCAACTTTTCAACATAGTTACAACTGAAAAAGGGCAAGGCAAGAAGTATTAAACCCAGAGCAAACAAAGAACCAATTCCCGACTATGCTTGATTGCCGCCACCCCTCGGCCCACCACGGCCTCCAATCCTTCCACGGCCCCGTGCAAAGCCTCTGCCGCCGCCACCTCGGCCCCTTCCGTATCCATCACCTGCTAGCAGTTGATAGATACATGTTAATCCCAAAAGAGCATTAATCCTAGCAATCCAAACATTTTTCTAAAATATCCAAGGCATTAATGCCAAGTTTTTCTGTATCGTCTAACATCCTAGCCAAAACAGTGTATTTTCCAACTATACTGCGCTCTACACAAAGAACAGTGTTGTCAAATGGAAGCCATGGCGTCACCAACTCACCATGGCTGTGTATGGCGCAGCAGATTTTTGACAATCCACCATGCTAAATTTGTGAAGGATGGCGGTTATGGCTATTTCAGAATTTTGGCATACCGCCATCCGCCATTAATAACACCGGTAAAGAGTTGCATGTAAAATAAACACAAAACTCAGACAGACAATTGTAACATTACTGGGGACCCGGATACGAGTAATTTATCATAAGAGGGAGTAGTACATGTAACATGCCAGTATAGGGCTATATATTTTATAAGACAACCAAATTTCTTATAAAGCTAATTCTGTAACTATAACAAAATATGGCCTGCCAAACAATACAAGGAAAGTACATAACCTGGAACCAAATGAGTGTTATCAACACAAAGAGATTCTCAAAATCTACTTCACCAATTTAACAAGCTTTTTAACTAAAGAAAAAAGTGTAATCTTCTGAAATTAAAAATAAATAGTTCTACTAACCGCGATAGCCCCAACCCCCACGCCCGCCACCTCTCCCCCAGTTAGAATATCCACCAGAGTAGCCACCCTGATACCCTCTGTTTCCACCCGGGTAGCCACCCTGATAACCCCCGTTTCCACCCAAGTAGCCACCGTGGTACCCCCCGTTTCCACCCGAGTAGCCACCCTGATACCCACCATTTCCACCAGAATACCCACCTTGATATCCACCATTTTCTGCCGAAATTTAAAATAAGTACAAAGAAATAGAGAGATACAGATTGAAAAAAATCATAAAAGGTGAAAGGCATTAATAGTATCCCAATTCTGCTAATTCATAACACAGATAAGTACCTTGGTAGTTAGAATATCCGCCTCTGTTCCAGCCTCTGCCCCTCCCTCTACCACGCCCTCTTCCCCATCCATATGTATCTAAAACATCAAAGATGTGTAAAATCATTTGTCGTCTACAATGATTATTTAAGACATAAAGTTATCATGATTGAATAATTCTTATGTACCTCCATTACCATAGTTGTAACCACCATGTGCTTGTCTAGGAGGCTGGCGTTGTTGAGGTGGATAATCATACTGCTGTCTACTTTGATCTGTGTTTGATGGGGCTTGGTATCTGGATCGAGCATACAAGCCCATTGCAAATGAGAAAGAAGATAGTTAAAGAACAAATTCTACACCAAAATCGCCAAGCAACCACCCCTCCTACCTTATCATAAGAAAAAAACCGTACAACACAGCAACCAAAGTGAGGCAAATGTTGCAACTTATGACTAAGAGAAGTCTATGACCTTGTGAAGAAACACGATGCAGCATAATTTAAGTCCTATGCATAATATAGCATTATCACATAAACGACTTTCCAGTAAAAAGCAGGGGCAAAATTAATGAAGCAACAAAATTACCCAGGAGAATTCATGTTAAGCTCTTTCGTAGACAGGGTGATCGAAATCATTGAGACATGGCGGGTCTGCTCCACACTGTACCAGACATCATAATCCATATTAGGGATTCACAAGCACACCCCCATAAACAAAACACTGAAGAGTATAATCAAATGAACAAAAAGGAGATAATAAACTTACGTCTGAAGGCCTTCCTCAATGGGTTCAAAGGTATCTGTTATGCTCACTGAACTGATAGCAGTGTCCTGATGAAGCCGAGGAACCCTTCTCTGTTTTAAAAGGAAAGCAATTTATAAATCTTCACATTGTACAGAGGGAGAACATAGAAAATGGGTCGGAGCCTGAAATAGCTACCTTTACGATTTCTGCAACAGCAACAGTCTTGCTTATAGCCTGACCCATTGCTTTTAAGACAATCTCTCTTACTCTTCGTTCCTGGTGAAAAGATAAGTAAAACATCGTAAATAATTTCAGTTGAAGAAGATGCAAAAACAGACATCTATAAAATCGACCAAGATCTCTGGAACAAAGTTCGTCTAGAAGATACTTTTCACGTATTAAAGCCCGGTACAAAATAATAACCTCATAAAGCAACCGAGTAATACTCTTATGTATCAAATTTTGATAACTATTAACAGAAATCAGGACTGCATCAACCTAGAAACCCCGATTAGCTGAACAGTTCAACTCAAACGCAGCCCATATCAAGACCAAGACTTTGGTAACTTACCAGTAACTTTGTGGGCTTCATATACAAAATAGTTAGTACACTCTCAAATGCTTTATTCTTGGGTAGCTTGGAGGCTATATCAAATATTTCCCATTAAATATGTATTACGAGCTACATCTGACCTACCCTAATTACTTTATGGAAATTAATCTTTGTCAACTTCCCTCGCTTCACAACAGATGGGTATGGTTATTTAGGTGATTAGGTCATGATCCCAACAAACTAGTCAGATGTATATTTTCAGAACTGGTGGAAAAAGGGAATGACACCAAATATACTGATGATGGAAGAAACTCTACAAACTCAAACTCCACGAAAAAAAAAAAAAAAAAAAA